TGACTTTTGAACTTCCCTCCAAAATAGACACATCTATTATATTCAATAAAGGAAAAGTGCTAGAAATAATGTATTTTCCTTATTTGCCAAAACTTGTAAAAATGCGTCTTCTAAATGACTTTGTGGAGGTATGTTACTATCCGTACTAGCATGAAAAAAACTTTTCCATTCCGATTTTTTTTTGATAATTCGATTCGATACGAGTACTTTATATCGATATCGAGTATTGGTATCGAAAAAACGATTCAATTACCAAAGTACTCGGTATCGAAACAAAAGTATCGAATATCTACTTGTATTGAATCATCCCTATCTGCTGCTGCCGGTGGTGGTCTTTTGCCAGTGGCGTGTCATTGCACTCATTGAGACAAACGTTCAAACTGTGGAAAAATCGTTGATTATGGGGGCGATTTGCCTCTAACAGAGATCTATCCAGATATGTCGCTAGATCGATATGAGACGGGGGCATCGATTACGGTTTAATGGGCCAGAATGGCAACGAAGACTGAACTTAATCTAATTTGTAATTCGTAAATAAGTAGGGAATAAACCAGTTTTGCTGGCTGTTTGCTCGATCCGATCGGGCACTTTATCTAGCTGGCTCCAGTTTACATTCAACGATTCCCTAACGAGTGTTTGCCCTGGATAATTGATGGAATCACCGTGAGGGCAGATCTACTGGCAAACGAGAATTCCCTCCTTCATTCAACAACATACCAATGGACATTTATTTTTTATTTATTCCAAATTGGGATTGATCGGGTGCTTCCCATAGTCCTTCCTCCACTAGCATTCGAGGTTTTTATCCGGGATTTAATAAATTAGTATATACAAATGAAAATACACCGACTGGCACAATAGAATTCGAATTGTCACAAGCCGGTCGCATTAAATTGGAAATATCGCTCGTTAATGTTTGTCGGTGTCGCTAAAAAATGAAACGAGTTTTCCATTGTTGGGCACGGAAAATTGTACGGTAATGAATAGGAAAAACGCGCGCCGTCTAAATATGGAAATCTGTTCCGCTGCCCGATCATTAATATTTGCATAAACTCCGCGTGCAGTTTTTGTTAATTAAATATGCAAAGTGACACGGAAAATGCAACAATAAACTCCACCTCTTTTCCCGCTGATTGATTGATTGATCAGTGCGAATATTGTYTCTTTAACCCATTCTCTAGCGAGAGGCGGGATGCGAACAACACAAGCCTGTTAAATTAGTGCTACACCGACGAGGAATTATTATCGTTATCCTGAAAACGACGAGTAAATAATACGGCCTTTGTACGAGACACRAGGGCGCATAAGAGCATCAAAGAAAAATCGTCGTTGCGCTTGTTCGGAGGCGTTATTAATGCATTTCATTTATGCTGTGCACTCGTTGTTGCCTTTTGATCTATTTGCCAAGACGCGATTCCTTAATCAAGTCGCATCCGATGCAATCGCACTCAAAACAACTGGTTTTTGCCAACTCTGAAGTTGTTTTCGCTCTGAAACGGAATAGCAGCATTCCGTCGCGCAGCAGTTGTTTGATTTTTTTGAGCGAAGGCATTTTTAATTAAACTGCAATCCAAACGTCTTATCGAGTTTCGACGAAAAGCGCAAAAATATGTTTACTCATCCACTTCAGTTTTCGAGCAGTGTATATGGGCGATGCTGTTTGACGTTTGTAACAAGCGGTGCACCAGGTGGACGCCTCTCATTATACACTGCTGGGAAATTGAAGTGACCGCCAGTGGTTGGTTGTCTAAAAGTTGATCTTCGAAACTTTAGCAGTCACCAAGACTAGAAAAATGTTGAGTAGACAAAGAATTGTAGTTTTCAATGCTCTACACAAAGCAATTTTATTTTTCTAAAATCTGACAGCTCTCCAGAAGTATTTGGGGACAACTTCTTTATGGTAAATTTTAAAATTACTCCTAGTTCCGTTGACATTAATTTGCCAGGAAAACTTGCAGGAAATTGAAGTCCAAACAAAATGACAGAAGACATTTCGCCAAAATAACTGTCATTCTTGACATATGACACAAATTGGGTTTTTTTTTAAGGGCAACTATACTTGATCATTGCTTTACCGAATCGAGCATTTTATTCCGATTTCTGTGATATTTCACGTCGTTAGGCTTTGTTCGAAAATAAAGTGTCTGCGACCAATTTAGTTGATCTAAGTTAGTCATGGAAAATAGTATAAGAGATTGTTTCCATAGGAACAAATAATAACAACATCTTACAATTTGTGACATTCAATTTTAAATTCAACTTATAAATCTAGGTTAGTTTTATCCAGTATCAGTTTGATTGGGAGGAGCGGCTAATTGTAGCCCCCTTGGAATACATTGTTGCCAGATTTCAGCTGATTTGAGGCGTTATTATAGAAAGAGAGAGACAGAAAATGAGAACAATATTATTATTTATTTACCGAGTTATTTAAGATATCGATAAAATAAATTACTTCCGATTTAAAATGTCTACCAAAAAGCAGTTTAAGATTTCTAATGTTGAAAGAATTAAAAACAAATACTTAAAATAATATAAATTATAGCTTGAATAAATTTTACTTAAATAAAAACATGGTAACAATATGCGCAACGATATAAACAAACAAAACTAAATTTTATTAACCATTCTAATGTTAACTTAGCGGCAGTCTTTTAATGAAATTAAAATTTTCAGACCGTAAAGTTTGCACTGAAGTTCTTATTTCGTTAGAAATATTAAAAATGTTTTCCTAAAGTTCTTCGATTGTATTCACTTCTGGTGAATAGACCGTACTTTTTAAATGGTCCCAAAAGTAAAAATCAAGCGCGTTTAAATCGGGAGATCTAGGAGGCGAGTTTATAGGAGCTTCTTGGCCTCTAGCAATCCAACGGCCTGGAAAGTTTGGATTAAGCCGAAACGATTTAATTTTTTTGCGGGCAAACTAGTGCCCTTAAGAAAAAACAATAACAGATAAAAAATTGATAAATAACTTGTAGTAATTAAAAAAAATTATGTTGATAAAAGTTTAAGCGCACACAAAAAAGTTCTGAACAAGACAAAAGTAGGAGTTCCACATTTCTACCCTGTATAAAAGTAAACTGAACTACAAAACAYTTCCAYAGAATGGCCTTCARTTATCTTATAATGTGTACCAAAATTTAAGTTCCCAATGTTTAACCGTTTTAAAGAAAAACAACAAAAACTAATATTTTTCGCCATTTTGGAGATCAAATATCTCAAAAATGAGACCTCAAATTAAAAAGGTTCTCAGGAAGACCCCCATCTAAAATGACTAGGAGAATACGCTGCTAAAATATTTTAACATATTTACGGAACACCCTGTATAAATACCAATTATAAAGAAAATCAAACACAATTTTAGTTTATTCACTGGGGTACCATGATTTGTACGATAATGTTTATTGAGATTTCCCTGCGTTGAAAAGCCATTTTGACAAATACTGCAAACATTGGAAATAGACATAACTAATGATATAAAATGTATAAAATTCTAACCCCCCCTTTTTAAGATTTGACACTTGACACGATACCTGACATAACATTACTGGCAACGTTGTATTCCAAGGGGGCTACAATTAGCCGCTTTTTTGATTGGGTAGCGGGTTTAGGTCGTGGCCCACTGTGATTCCCACATAACATTGTTGAACTTGTCAGCGCGCCCTGTTAGTGAAAGACGGAATTTATGGCTTTTGGTCTGGCGACTCCGGCCGATCATTCCAATTAAATGCGCACGGGGGCGACCTCCCCATGAATTCCGATAGGAAAATTAGTGGAAATTTATGAGCTCCGATTGTATAAATAACAGCGCCTCATTAATAATTGAATTGACCTGATTGTGGGCAAATTTTCCATTATCATTATTACGCCCCCCTATCATTTACTCCGGCCTGGCCAGACTCTTAAATCAAAGCCACGCAATAGGCCCAACAAGGCGTCAGAATTGACATTTTACATAGCCGTTGGTTAGGGTTTTTGCCCAAGTTAGTCATGCTCTGAGCCGAAGCAGACAGATGTCGCTCTGCTCGTTAGAGGCAAGTTAGGCAAGTCGATTACGTTGTTGTTGCATTGCGGGGCGCATTATTTGGTAAATGAGATTTGACCGATTAAATCGGAAATCGCTTTGTGCGTTGTGGATGAACAATGTGGCCAGTAATGACATGCGGATCCCTTGTTGGTGCAAAAAGCGGAATTAAATCGCCTAGAAAAGCAGATCCGGAACGCGATTAAGCGCACAATGGCCGCGCCTAATAAAACAGAAAAATTATAATGATAAATTTAACCCCCGGTGACAATGCGCGCACACCGCATACACCAGAAACTCATATGCTGAATTTATTGTATGTCCGATAAATAATAAAATTTAATATTTTCCGACTGCTCGCTTTAGCTTCACTACACCCGGTTGCATAATTTCCGAGCCGACAATGGAAAATTAATTTTATTCCGTTATATTCTATTGCCATTGACGCTTGAATTTAACAGCGTTGTACAGCAATTATTTATGACCAAACCGTATCGGGCGATGTTCTATTTTTTACGTAGGTTGGGTATTAGAAGTCCAACAAAACATCCCCTACAGGGCATACGAAAAAACTGGTGCGCCAATTGTGAATCGCCCTGTATATGCATTTATGCGATGATATACAAAGTGTATGCTGTGAGGGCGACGCCGCTCAGGAGGGTACTAAAGAACGAAAGATCCACTCTAAACCAGTAGCGGCCGGTGATAAATAAAAACTGGAACCGTTAGCAAGCGCGTTCGAGAAAATCGGATTAAATTTTCGGAATTTATCCGGTTTTATTCCAGGCTGGAACGTCGTCTCGGGGTCCATAAGGCTGAGATATTCGCCAAACGGACGGCGAGCGTCGGTCCATAAAAGCGATGGCTAAAATGCGAACACGGTGCTCTAAGTAATTCGATTCGGACATTTTTCTTGAACCCCCTAGAGCCCCCCTGGATCAGACGTATTAAGCAAATGCCAACTATTTATTTGTTGCAGGAAATTAACTACGATTCGGCAAGGGGCGGCGTGTCGGTGATCACGGAAAAGGGCGACATTACAGTCTCCTATTTGCTCATCCAAAGGGCGACGGAGAAGGACAGCGGCAAGTACACGTGCCATCCATCCAACGCCAATCCGGAGGGTTTATCAGTGCACGTGCTCAATGGTAAGTTTTCCACTTGGTGACAAAACCCACGAAACTAAGCTTAGAAACACACACGCCCAGTCTTCTCCACCAGCAATTTATTACCAGTCTGTCAAAAGACACAATTGTATATACTTTCCTGACTGTGTCAAACTCAAAATTCGGTATTTATTAAAACTCGCATTCCGGTACGTAGCTGGCAGCGATTGTCTCACTCGCACCCATGGGATTGTATGCGACATGGCCAAGCCATGTGCGATGCTGCGTTCGAACTTGATACTCTCGCCGCTAAAACATCTCGGTTTTTTTCTCAAAAAAATGTGTCTAACAGTGAAGCAAAAAGCAGGATAGGGGAGAGATCGATCAAAAAGAGTCAGTGAGAAATTGTGATTGTTTGAATATGTT